CTCTGTATTTGTCCCCAATACTCAGCCCCAGTTTTCTTTACCCAGACTCTGCACCTTAGTTTGACAAGAACTTGGAGGCCATCACTGGAAACACTCTCCTCACTCAGCAATGCTAACATTCTCTAGCTCCAGCAGCACTGGTTATTGTCAGACAGCGATGCTTAAAGCATAACAAGTGCAGCATGGTAATACTTAACATATTAAAATACTTTATGAGAACTAATTAATAAATTTACAAATTGCTCCCAAGAGATAATCTGATCACCAGTTACCACTTTACCTCAGTAATGGCTCCCTCAAGTACAAGCAAAGTGGACGCAGCAACCCTTGCTGTCTCACATCACCCTCAACCCCAGTGTGATGCTCCAGGTGAACACTACTTAGAGCAGAAAGTGCCTACCCTGAGCAAGAGAGCCCACAGCAGAGCCTGTGTCAGCATCACCAAACTAGGATGCAGAATGGTTGCATCAGCCCAGTGCAGGGGCTCGTCCACATTGCTGAGAGGCACAACTCCTGTCTCTGGACCTGCCTGGGACTAAACTAGTCCCAGTTGCAGAAAAAGAAGTCAGGTTTGCTACTCTAGGACATGTTGTACTTGAGCAGCATCGCTGCCCGCAGTGAGCTGGTGCTCTAGGTAGGTTTTTCCCCTAAGTTCACGATCCATAAGATGCTCTGCCTGTACTTCAGGGATCTCTGATCTGTCTGCACTGGATTAGACTGAAAAACTATTCACAACACTGGAAGGTGACACTGAGTCCTCCCACAGTGAGGAAAACAGTTTACTCACTCTATTTTAATGCATTCCCAGATCACTTTGTGGCCTTGAATTAGCAGGAGTTAAGTGCACTCCATTGACTGGAGAAAATGTTCTTCCCTGTCCTCAGGACACAGCAACTTTCCTAAATCACCTGTTGCTCCTTGGACTTTTTGAGCAGAAACAGGCCACAGCTGACACATCTCCAGCTCACAGAAGTGCTTGTCTGGGGCAATTGCTCTGATGCTATTGTACTGCTGATTCAGGAAGGAGTTTTCCCCAGCTTATTCTTAAAGCATTTCACCCAATTGATGATTCAGTCTTTTTGCTTCAAGCATAAATCACCTTCCAGATAAAGTCTTGCTAGAAAGATTTCATTGGCCCTAATTAAAATGAAACTCTGTGAAAGTATAAACAGTGGATCAGCAAGGAAATATTGGGCTGAGATTTGTGAACTTGCATTCTCCCTGCCCTCCTAATTGCTCAATTTATCACAGGAGAAGTGGTGAATCTTTCCAAGGTAGATTACTTACTGCAAAGCCTAGCCTTTGATGCTATTTTTCTCTAAATCTGTAGGAAGGCTGCATCTGGACCACATATAAAGTCATCTCAATCCTTTGGAAATGACTGAATAACCCTCCTTTCTTTGGAAAGACCTGAGCCAAACCATCAAACTCAAGCCCAAGCTCCCTCTTTCCTGAACATCACTTTACACCAAACTCTTCAGCTTGCCTGATGCCACCACAGACCAACTTTTCAGTCTCAAAGCTGCTTTCAGGACAGAGCAAACTCTCCCCTTGGTTAAATTAATGCTGAACTGGTAAAGCATGTCTCACCCTGTGACTGACCCCAGCCATCACCACTGCAAACTAAAAAACCTAACTCTTCTGAACACCCCACAACAAATGCAGTAGCAGGAAAAGAGGAGCAATAAACAAAGCCTTATTGATGCAGGGCAATAAATCAATCACCATTTTCCAGAAGGAAATGAATGGCCCATTAAGGAAGTAGTCATAACCTCACCTTCTCCGTAATGGGTCTTGGTCCTAGACTGCCTGGCATCAAAGGGTTTTCAGCCCTAAGAATGGACCCCATGTGGGGCTGCCTGCTTTAACAGCAGGAAGGGAGAGTGTTTGCACAAGCAAGGCAACAAACCTACCCCAACCAAACCCAACATGTGGCAGTGGGCACACAAAGGGAAGAGTGAAGGAAGAGCATGAGGAACAGCAGCTTTCCCTGCTTTCTACTTAGTGGGAGAAAAAGCGCTAGCCATTTTTCTTACTAATGCATAATCACTGTTTACACAGACTGCATCTTGTCTCTTGTGGTCCCACAGCCTTTTGCAAATCTTAATTAAGCAAAACATTGAAAGTAGGTTCACAGCTCAGCTCTGATGCATCAGGGGAATGCTGGTTTCCTTAAGCAGGCCAGAGGCTGGGGCTGGCAGGGAAACTAGCTCCACCATTGCAAAATTTTCCTAGCCAAAAACATTCTCCCTAGCAGCAGAGAACCCAAATGATGAATCAAAGCTCCCTGAGCAAGTAATAACCTCCGACACTCACCCGCTGTCTGAGCCTAAATATGCTGGCTTACTTCCTGTCCTCCACAAACCAAGAAGGACCATGACACATGTTCGCTTACCCCACCGTTCAAGTTTTGGATGCAAGAGGCAACATCTTCCAGTTTCTTCCCATATCAACCCAATATGGGTCCAGTAGGGATTCAGCTGATTCAGGCAGCATTAATATGCAGTTGCTGAACTGCCTGGTGCTGGATGGACGGACTGGTTGCATTGCTGTTAACCTCTGCACAGTCTGACATCCACAAACACCCACCATGCCAGGTTTTCAGTCATTGCTGCAGTGTGGTTTGGGCTTTTGTTTTGTTTTTAAATCTGATGAACTTAAGAGTAGGCACAGAAGAAACCAAAATGAAAGTCAAGCGGCCAGAAAACAGCAGATGACTGAAGCTGTGAAAAAGTTAAGGGCTGCACAGAGTGGATCTTCTCCACCCACATCTTTTCTCAGCTACTAACCTGCAAAAGCACAGCCAGCTCCTCAGCAAGCAGAGCAGCGCAGGGAGGGGGTGACACAGCATGCAGGGCAGAGCCAAGGGAGAGGGGGCAGAGATGGCTGCTGGCACTAGTTACATGAAAGCCATCTGCCGAGTAGTCCCATGGCACGACACACACCACTCGCCCTCCACCCAACAAGCAGACCAACCAGAGACCCTCACATCTGTCAGAGACATGAACCCACCAAGCATTAAAACCTAAGCTGGGGTCTCAGACAAGGCTTGATACTATACAACAAATACTCAACTGCATCTCATCCAGGCATCTGTTTCCAATTAGATTAATGGGTATCTAGAATGATACTATAATAGTTTTCAAAGCAACACCCAAAATCAATACCCCAGTAGTAAGCCTGGTTTTTGCATGTGGTACAAAAGGCAGTTTGGGAGAAGATGATCTAATATACCACATATTGATTAATCAATTCCAGCCAGGATACTAATGGGCTTTCTTATAACAGTTGGCACTACAAGTAAGGAGTGGGATTGCTGAATAAGAATGGGAGAAACTGGTTGTATGATGAAGTTTCAGGGTGAGGGGAGGGCATGCAGTGGGGAAATGGGCACTTCTAGATATCGCTCTAAGTGGGCAGAGACTGGGAAGAAATGGAGGAACTGAGCAATGAATGGAGAAGGTAATAAATCAGATATATTGGCTTCAAACACAGCAGAATTGTACCTTGCAATTTACTGTGGTTGATATTAATAATACTTTCCTGTTGCTACAGAAACCCTCACAGGAAGGTCTGCAAAAGAGCCCAGCATGGGTCTAGAGTCTATAATGAAGTAGACTGAACACTTTTTAGTCCTACCAGCCAGTGAAATAGTCTGGAGGCTTTATTAATGCCTACCTTAGTTATTTTTCCACATTAGCACTTCTGGCTAGGACAGCGTGGGGCAATTCAGATCATCTATGCACAGCTGTCAGATTGTCCTTCCTTCTACAGTCAACGGAAGAAAGCAGCCAGTGTAGCCATACATTGCTAATCATCACCACTCGCTCCCTCCTTTCTGCTCCTGTACTTGATAAAGTCCTTTACTACCATAGAAAATGAAAGTACAAAACAGCTGGACCACCCTCCAGACCCAAACCATAGCACTTTACACCCACTGTAGAAGAATGTGAAGACCTAAGCAAATCACAAAGCTGGGAAGAACAGGTCTGCAACAGATACACAGGTCCCTTTCAGTTCCCAAAGGGCAGCTGTCATACTTTGCAAGAAAATATGATCCAGATGCTTGAAACCAGCTGAAGGGCTCTATTCCCAGCCTGTTAGCAAGGGTTAGGTGCTTGCCTCTCAAGACATGACACCTCAAAAGGGTAGGTATAAATTACAGACACCAATGAGAACATTACAGTGCCTGAAAGGCAGTGGAGTCATTCAGTTGTTGCTCATTGGGTGAGGTTGCCCTACTCTTTGTAAAATTGGAAATAGTAAAACTGACCAAGAGGTTTTCACCTTGAGTTGCTGTGACAGTCATGGTCCTGGCTGGCAGGAGGCACAGCCAGCAAAAACCCTAGCGAGAAAATTCAGCCTGGTATATCTTCTCTACAGCCAACAGAGTCATGCCAGGTGTGAAGGTGACTCATAGGGCTTTGTAAAATTGGATTGGAGTTGCCAAAACTAGTACTGGATGTTGGTGCTAACATCCAGCTGATGCTGGTTTCATTGATGTAGGTTACAAGTTTGATCATGAAGGCTAGACCCAGTCAAGAGAAGAAACCCCTAGGTACAAAATATTAATGAGTCACTGGTTTTGCCACCCTATATTGTGCAATTTGGTAACTGATTTTCTATGGGATGTCGTGAGAACATGCTCCTACTCACCCCCACCCATCCTACAACAGAGCACACTGGCATCTTGGAGCAATACACACCAATTCTTACACATGGCTACACCACACTGACACAAGACAGCATGTTGCAGGTGAGAAATTCTGTAGCCTCAAATGACCACAGGCCATGATAGTGGTTCATATGCTCTTACAGGATCAGCAGAACAACCGTCGAGAAAATAGGAATAATCCTCCTAAAAAACAGGCTGGGATGCTAATCAATAGGGGGGGGAAAATGCACAAACTAAATTACTTTTTTTCCAGAACAACCTTTTCCAAACTAACACAATGCATAACAGCACCCCAGGAGTCCTACAGCCCTATCAGTGGACTCACATTGTAGAGGATGTCGGTCCATCCCTCCATGGTGATGCACTGGAAGACGGTGAGCACAGCAAAGAGGATATTGTCAAAGTTGGTGATGCCGTAGTTGGGCCCTTGCCAGTACTCCCTGCAGGTGGTCCCACTCTCACACTGCCTGGCAGGAGGCTCCTCTCCACAAGGAAAATCTCCCACCTCGTCACCTGCAGAGAAGAAGAGTGGGGAGAAAAGTTACCGACTGAAGCCAGTCAAGCAGTTGGTGCTGCTGCATCCTCTTTTCACCACTGCATGAATATAATTTACATTTCAGGCTTCCTTGTGCCACTGTGGGCATGTAAAAGACATTATGCCTATGTAGTCATTTATATACTGCTATGTTATAAGAGATGGCTTAGTTGCAGGGTGGAGCAAAGCCATCCCTGAAGTCCTCATAATTTATACTTTGCCCCAGCATTCAGCCATCTCATATATGAGAAACACCACAAAAAAAAAACCCCAGTGCGGTAAAAGCAAGGGCTTGGGAATGGTGTATACTTCAAACACTGAGCCAACAATACACCCTCATAGAGCATAGCTAAGCGCTAAATACTGGCAATATAACATTAAAGCAAAAGGGCAGGTTCTTCACCAGTGACTTAAGAAAGAACTGCTCATGGATAGCCCCAAAATTGTCCAGATACAGATGCTAAACCACAACTGCATGAGGAGCCCCGGTTTCATCACAGGGCAGTACCACCACATCAGCCTGCGAGGTAGACTAACAGCTCCAGCCCCTCCATAAGCTTCATATTTCTGCCCTAAAGGGCAATGCCATGGAGCGTAGGCACACATGGCAGGGAAAGCATCTAGCTGTCAGCTTGTCTGCAGCAGGCATGGAGTTTCTCTGCTGAGTTTCCTTTTGGACCCAGAGAAGGCAGAGGAGGATGAGTCTGTCATAGTTAAGGACCACAAGAGAGGGCCAGAACAGTGGCCAGCATCTTCCAGGGTCAGCTGTGAAGTCTGAAGTGTTGCAGCCCTCCAGAGACATTGCAAGCACCACCACAGAGCAGTTTGGAAAACTAAAGGGCTCAGTTTTCAAAGTAAATAAGTATACTAGGTAATACTCCTATTTACACAGAGACACAATTCAGGAAATATTAAAGGGTTTTAAAAGTGACACATTATGTTAATGGAGCAGCAAACTGCACAAAATCAAATTCACCAGGGGGAAAACAAGATCAGCACTAATAATTAGGAATAATCATTCCATAGAGCAGAGCCTGCAGGAGGAAAACAAGATTGTCACTGTAGGTCCGGAGCGGGGGGGGGG